CGCTTACTAATTAAAAAGTTATACCATGAAAACTTTAACAAGCACAAAATGGTTATGAGGTCGGTCCCAAGGACCAAGCCCAGGTTGAAAGAGTTAAGATGTTCAAGCCATCATTTCCAAGTCTCATATCATCAATAAAATGCAGCCAATGATTAACATTTTCCTAAATTGAAAATGTATTTCCAATAATACTTGCATCCTCTCACACTTATAACTATCACTTGCCTATCAGGGTTTCTTCCTTTGCCCATCTAAGCATGGATCTGATTTTTTCTCGTTTGCTTCAGTCTTTTATACCCCACTTAACTGCTCTTCATGATATTTGTCTCATGACACTCTCTACCCATGTCAATGTGCCCTTTATACTGGTACTGTATATAAGCACCTCCTTCAGATAACGTTATAACCTTTTCAAGACTGACTCCATCCCTGTCATTAACAGTGGCTCTTAGTGGGGAGGAAGAGTGGGAGAGTGTGAAGGATGAGAGGTAAGTATTATTGGAAATACATTTTCAATTTAGGAAAATGTTAACTTCCAATACATACATACCTCCGCTACCACTTACAGCTAAAATCCCACAATGAGAAGGTGGAGGGGCCTGTGAGGGTGTTATTCATACAGAAAGCATCTGCATAGGTGATGGGTGTGTCAATAGAAGATTGGCACCCTATTGGGGGAACCGCACTACATCCAGAACAGGAATGCTTGTCACCCTGAAATTAATCCTGTATCATGGGTGGAATTGTATATGAGTGATCATCACTATAGGCCAGCCTCAACCAGATAGCCTAGGTTTCACTAATCAGTGTTGGAATTAAGGGGTCTTGGTCCCTATATCCCACATCAGTGGCTAGGACAACTGGACTGCAACATTATATATATATACTTATGAGTGGATCCTAACCTGTAGCTTTAGAGTGATGTATTCCAAGCCATCAGAATCATGATAAGAAAGCAAGCAATACTGAAGTGGGCAAACCTTCTCCTCAACCTGAAGAAGTCCGAAAGACAACACCCGAGGCTTGGAATGATAGCATTGTGTATGCCCTACTCAACCAAAGGAAACAGAACTCATCTGGTCTGGAATTATGAACACTCATCCTCACTCCCAACTGTGTGGGCAAAGTACATTCTAATTGCCACCAGAATTATGGGGAGGATGAGGAACAACTGTGCCCAACCAAGGACCCAAGATGAGACCACTCCACGTTCAGAATTATGAGAAGATAGTGGACCCTCTTCCATGAAAAATGTACTGAATATATATTGATCTAACAGAAGGGCCATGCACACCATAGTGGAGCATCAAATCTGAACCTGTATTACAAGTAGGCTCGTGCCACTCCTATCAACATCTGGGACCCAGATAGGAGAGCCCCCAACTTCACCCTCTTCTTCAAGAGGAGAGGAATTCACTTTAACACTCTGGAGGAAAAGCCTCTGTCCACCACTCCAGGTGTGCAAAGGACTCCCTAGCTCTACTAGTAGAATCTGGGGGATAATGTGTGTTAGGGA